GTTACAGAAGACGGCTCAATCAGTTGGTCGGCTCACATGTACACTCGGGCTTGAGCGATTTTGATGGTTTTGCAAGGGTCCAGCCAGAAAAACGAACATTTATTATGAAATGTTTATAATATTTTCCTTGTTTTCTGCAGCGCTATGAGAACGGAACTCTTCTAGCTTTTCTAACAAACTCTCCAATCGACGCTTCAGCGTTGCTAGTTCTTCTTGGCTAAAATATTATCAAATTCGTTAATGTTGCCAAAAAGCACAGTGCACCATAAACTTAGTAACAAGTAGTTATGGCATAGAATTTGCTAATTGAATTGAAACGCGATAAAACTGCAGATATTCACAATGTATCGTCCCAGTTTTATAGCTGGGAAGCCGTTAAACAGGTGCTCGACCCCAAGCTATAAGTGCGCTTCGGCGGCAGAACGCAGGACTCATTAGGGAATTCGGCGCAGACGTTGTTCAATGAGCCTTTGAGAATTCAATTGTATTACATCTCATAGAAGAAACTCCACTCATTAAAACAGCTCCTCCAATGGGTTGACGTACGACAAATCCGTTTGCAAATAAGACCGAACCAAAAATTCGGTTAGCGCTGCAAACCAGTATTAAACTTCTCTCATTTCCGTGAAATACCTCAGTCATGCTGAACAGCAGTACTTTCTTCAGAGCAGGGTGAAGACGGTCGAGGAAGTCCCCGATCATGGCTCTGTTCTGTGCGAGAGTAGCGATAAATGTACGCGAGGAGGGTACAGACGGCTCTTGCATGGCGAGTGTGAACGTGACAGATCAGGGGAAACTGATCTCGACGTGCCGTTGAGGAATCCTCGACCGATAATCACCCTGCTTCAGAATACCCATGATCTGGACCTCTTGAGTGATCTTGAAGCTTTTTTATAATAGATAATAGTAAGCGCTGTTCATCAAGTAACACAGATTGCAACCCCAACCATTTCAGAAAAGACGATACCTTAAAGGAATCTTCCACGGAAAGAGTGATCATTTTGTCTTGTGTGTAGGATTAGTATTATCGAAACTAACGCTTATGTTCCGTTCTTTTTGCTATGCTCATGAGGCTAGGGGCCTAAGGGTATCGTTTTTCTGTGGTAATGGAGGCGGAGCTTTTTCCGTGGAAGATTCCTTTAACTCTTCAAATTTTGTGAGCCATTTGTGCTTGGTGGGTGTTCTAAAGACGTCCAACTTCTCCGTCAACTTGAACACACAATGTATCTGGCAGTTTCATGTATGTTTCATACAAAAAAATGTTCTATGGCCATAGTATTTCATACAAATATTTAAAGCGCACCCTATAATATAAATATCGGCATAAACAAGAATTAAGGTAATATGAACATCTTACCTATGCTGTAACACGAATAAATTAGCTCCTGCTGAAGCAGTGAAGGGCCGTGCTGGACCACGAGCTTCTCGTTGGAGCTGAGCTGCTTCTAACGAAAGCTGCAAAGGCACTCACATATTATCATGTCACGAATGTTCAGTGCTGAATGTTGGGAATGCTAAGATTTCACCATAAACGCTCCCAGTAAGGAACCAATCGAAGTTACGTTATGAAGATGCAGAATTGTCCAAAGCCAAAATTAATTTGCTATTCAAAACTTCAAACTACTATGTACACAAGTTTTCGCCTCCACCTTTGCTTCACTTGTACAACATGCTCGTCTCCAAGCAACCGCCGCATTCAGCGAAATCCGCAGAAGTTAGCGATTTTATGCGAGCTGGTTTGTCTCCTTCACAGTATTACCAACATTAAGTGTATTTCGAGAAAAAAAAGAGAAACCATTCTTCAAGTTTAGTGCAGCTGGCAGAAAGCACACTCTAACATCATTATGGAATCACAGGGCGAATGGAATGAAAGTGTTCCGAATAGCTGGCCGCTAGCGATTTTGTTAACAAGTGAACGACATACCTTGGAAACTTTCATTGAATTTGTCAGCATCTTCGCACGACATTCCTTCAATTTCGCAAACAGTTTGGCTTCCTCCGCAGTCAGTTTCTGATTATCCTTCAAACGTGAAGAAACCTGAAATTCAAAATACGAATAGACCAAAAGTATTTTTTGTACAGGGCTTAGTGGGGCCTTTCGTAGTCGATCTTCGAGGGAAGGCGACGCGGCGTGTCCTTATTGTTCGCTCTCTGTTTCGAAACACTCCTTATGTACAAGCAAGAAGGAGCGCTTTAGCTATCGCTAATATGTTCAACGTAACTCAATATTATGGGCAAGCCTTAAAGGAATCTTGCGCGGAAAAATCATGATTCTATTTCAGCCATAAATCACTGGCTTGAGACTCATTATCCACGATAATAGTGAAAAGAACTGAAGTATTGCTTTCGTTTTGATTAGAAATTCGAAAACTCGAAAAGGCTGCTACGCGTTCGAATTGCCCACGGACGTCTTTCACGAATGCTGGCGACGGGGATGCTCAAACTTGGTTCTTGGAGTGCATTCACTAGAAGCTCTTTCTGGCCTTCTGCTTCGTTGCATTCACATCTTACACTTCTACTCCATCCTATTCCATCGATCGATTTGTCTCCACTCTCCGAAATCGCGCGCTTTAACCCGATTCTCTCATTGCGTCGCCTGGTACGTAGCCGGCCAAACGCCGTCTTCTTTCCATGCCTCGCCTGGCTCTGCCTCCTGGTCCTTCGATGGTCCATAACGTGTAGTTTTTGTACGTTTGTTTCTCTTCAGAAACCGAATCTTCATGCGTGAAACTTTGTGTGCTATTTCCAGTGATCACAACTGACATATTCATGTTAGGAAAGAGTGCAAGAATTTTCCGCGCAAGATTCCTTTAAGCAATTGTTAGCCTCAAACAAATTCCAATAAAAGATTATGATAAAGCTAAAATAAAATTTAGGAATGAAACATACCCGATCAGCCCGCGACAACGTTTTCATCACTTCTGACGCAGTCGCTCATTATTTTCCTTGATGGCAACATTCTGACGAAATACCTTAAAAGGGATACTGTAGGATCAGAGGATTATCACACCTCAATCAAGATTTCCAAAATTGTGCTCGAGCCAATTAAAGAGCAGAATTAAGGTAATGAAGTTACACAAGACTAGAAGAAGAGACAGAATCGTTTGGTGAAGTTTTACTCTGCAGAAAGAAGAAAGTGGCGTTTGAGTGGAAGGATCAAGATGACTTATGATGAGAGAGCACAAACCATGGCGAATACAAACCTGTAATAGCCGCTGATTTAGGATGTTTTGCCTCTCTGTCAGCTGAGTCGCAAAATTCATCAAAACGCTGAGCCTGAAAACATAGTGACTTAGATTACAACAAAGTAAATTCGAAAAAGGTTGTATGCTCTGCCGTCTATTAAGCCATCACATCTGAGAAATTTGGATCGTCTTTCGGTCAATCAAGCGAGACATACAACACAAAATAAAATAAACAGCAAAAAAAATAGTAGACAGTGCCATCAGTAAAAAAAGGCAGAGCTACCTGTCTTGACTCATATCCAGAGCGGCTCTTAGAACAATTTGATTCCTTTGAGCAGAGTCGAAGAAGTTGGCGATGTTTTTCAACTGCTGTTCCTGTGAGGGGGCCTTTCTGAAATGAAGCGATATGGAATTAAAGCCTGCTGAATTAGAATGAGTGAGAGCCTATCCTTCTGAGAATCATAGAAAAACAATGCATTTAAGTGATAGGGTGACATTACTGTGAGAGAACGAATGCAACGTTCCAAAATGCATTGGTTGATATAGCAAGCTGCCTGGAGAACAAGAATGAATCAATACAATATAGGAAATTGCTTACGAAATTGGAGGAGGCATCTCCCGTCTAGATAGTATAGTATTCAATACTTTCTCGTTCAAATTTGGGTGCATTTCCTTAGGAATCGACGAAGGTTCAGAATCGGATGATTGTGAGTCCATAATTTTTTGCCTGCAAATGTTATTACAACATGAACAGCACGAAGGCTTCGAGCACTACCAACTGAAAAAGTACTTAAACACAAATACGATGAGCTCACTTCAGAAATGCAGTTGCCAATGGTGGGTCCTCAGTGCATGCGATGAACATTGTCGTACTTGCCCGATGATTTGTCGATTTACAGATATCACCCCACAGCACGTTCTTGAGCAAGGCAAGAAGAAGACGGTAAATCTGCGTCACCATTGAAGTTGAGATGTAGAAATCAGTTTCATGTGCCTATGGCGCTTTTCAATTGTTGAGCGGACCCATCAGCACTAAAGAAATCAAATATCATAGAATTTTTAGCGTGAAGAGATAATATGGAATACTCACTCCAACCCGTTGATTGTCTCCGCATAGTCCTCAAGCCAAGAAGAGAGATCCATATGGAGTACTTGGATTCACTTGCAACAAGGATAGCAGACTCAAAACTACCGGTACACAAACTCCATGAATTACTTTTGGGTAACTGCAGTTGTTCGTGAAGGAAGAGGCTAAGAAATGAATTCCCTCAATATCACATTACTTCACGATGTGAGGTAAGAAATCTTCACCTATAGCTTGCATTTTCATCTGGTACGGCTACCATTAAAGCAGATTGTATTGCTGGCAGATAAAACTGCGAAAACCGAGAAAATCTAGAAAGGTTGATAGTCGGAACGAAGAGGTCAACAGCAAAGGAACTCACATCACTCATGGGATGATCGACAAGCCTGATATCGATAGGATCACACGGCAAATTTGATGGAGGGATGAGAGGACGCGTCAGAGCGGGTGAACTACCTGCAAGGCACTGGAGGGTTCAGAATGCCAGTTCAAAATCCGAAACTCTGCACACATAGCACGCAACAAAGGATATGATAACTACTTGGAATCACTCAATAGGACGAGTAATTCTAAGGAATGATGTAGCTAACATGAAGCAATTTCCTGCATGGTCGCAAACTATACGCACAGTCGTTTTCATCACTTTACCGTTGCATTTGTTAAAATATAAGAGCACCCCGATCGGATGGAACAGAGCGAACCAAAAAAAAAAAAGGAACAACACTTACCCTAAGATGATCACGGTCGAGAATCTCTCCTTAGAGATATCTAATTGCCATCAAACTGGAGTTCATCGCGGTTCAACAATACGTCGAATACACGAAATTTTCTTGATAGAATATAGAACCTCACAATTGAAGAGACAAGCATATACATAAGAGGGTTTTACGATATGCCACAGGCAGCCCCACTACCTCGTCAGTTTTATGAGTATGTAGTATGACACGAGTATTCCTCCACACCAATATATACAACCCATTTTGCAAAAGGCTTGAGCGTACCAATAGCAGCAGATGTATATAGTGAGAGAAAATTTAGGGAGGAAATATTATTCTAGGACGTGTGTAGAGCGCGATCAGGTCGCAGGTTTTGGCGCGTTCGCACGAATAGACAAGAATTTGCAAGTGCCATTTGGGCATTTGTGAACAACTGAATATAGGACAAGAGGAATCATGAACGGTCTCATCAGCCATTAGATCAATCAGAAGAAAAAAAAAAAAAAAAAAAAAAACTGACGGCACAATTGGAGAACCCCTTGCAAAATTGATCGGGCACTTGTGATTTCCGATGACCCGTCGCGTGAATCGCGTAAATCGCGGTCGCAAACTATGATAAGGTGATAATCAGAGCTATAGCGACGAATCCTAGCGAACTGACCTATTGATTTGAAGAAACCGTAGCTGTTGGACCCATACCCGTTCCAAGTGCGATCACTTGCACACATGAATGAAGCATATTCTATTGTCGCAAGAGGAACATCACATATATTATCAGCCTGGTATATTCTGAACACCATGAAGTAGTCACAGCAATCGTATAGAAAAGCTAACAATAAAAACGTTAGTGTTACCTTATGCGGTTATCATCGAAGAGAACTGCTAACAAGTGTAGCGAGGAATTCATAGAATCCGTAAGAATCCACCTGACCCGGAGCACCTTTGGTGGTCTCGGTGATTCGAAAAGCGTCGGATGAACTTCTTGTACCCTGCAAAGCGTTCAATAATGGTTAATGAGCAAACCTAAGGAAGATTTCATATTAAACCTGAACACTAACTCGCAAACGTATTGTCTATGCGGAACGTTGCCGTCCGCTCTTAGGACCCATAAATCAGCGGAAATGCGCACAATGAAGAGGGAATCAGCAGACGAGAGTACTGCCAAGGAACCATCGTGCATAATCGACATAGAAGTTATTTCGACATCATCCGGCAGGCTAGGTGAGAGAATAACGTTCTGAAAAAACATTAATTTTACAGATATTTCGCAACACCATGAAATTTGTTCTGTAGTTTGCTTATAAAGGTCCAGAATTTAGATCTTAAAATATTTCGAGAGCATCGAAGTACTACCATTCAGTTTATCATGAAAGATCCTGTTGCCGACAGCGTAAAGTTGTTCCAGAAAAGCGACTTTGCTAGCGACTACCACCGAGAAGCCTTTCGTGTTCGAAACACAGATTATTCGTTAGCTCTGAGGCAGATGCATAACCTGCGAATCGAGCGATTCGCTAGCG